ATGCAGATAAGACAGCAGACTGGTCTTGCGCGCACCTTGGAATCCCCTCGCCATCGATATTTGCTATCTTTTCGAAACGCGTTTGCGAGATCCTGGTACTGTGCTTGAGATCTCCCACCGACCATGGAGCCATATTCCACCTACGTCTATCTGGTGACACAGAAGCATCTGCGGCGGGTTTGTCTGGCTTTGGTGCAGCGCTACGCAGCAAAGCCGAGGCCGCACTGATGGACTGGTTCCCGTTTAACAGCCGACTGTGCAGTTCGGCTGCGATGAGCATGCAAGATAAACAGTTGTCATGAGAGGAAACGCAATTTGTTTGTGATCTCGGCTTACGCTCCAACTGACTGTAGTTCCGATTCAGTTAAGGACGATTTCTACCGTGAACTCCACCATCTCTTGATAAGAACCTGCCAATCGAATATTGTTGTCTTTACCGGGGATCTCAGCGCACGCGTCGATTGTCTATTATCTTGCGAGTCACCTCGGTGGTCACCATGCGCTCAATGAGAGAGACTTCTCACACTGTGCAATGATAATCATCTGTTTTTCTCGAGTACCAGCGTTTAGCATTCGAGGAAACGTTCCGCTAATTGGCGACCCTTTTCTGCGTCTCAATTATGGTCTCAGTTTCAAATGGTGGAGTAGTGTAAAGGATTCCAGATCCATCTGCTTCATTTTTCTTGACTCAGACCATGCTCTTGTTTGTGCGACCATCTCCATGAGTTTCGTAATGTCCCCGAAAACAAAGCACTGTAAGGTAGACACAAATAAACTATCTACTCTCAGTTCAGCAGAGCTATCAATCTTCCCTGGACGGTGCACTTGGTTGCGAACCACCCCAAGATGTTGGATGCTCATGCAGAGGACCATGCAGTTTTCCGGGCAGTTAGTGTGTGGTATTACTCAGCATCCTATGAAGACGTGGATCTGCACACACTCTTTGGATTTAGTTGACCGCCGCAGAAATATTCCTGCGTAGTTTACTCATAATGAAGTGCACCGTTCTGTCAGTCAGCAGCTCAAGCAAAGCCTACACATTGGTCTTGAAGTCTGGTGGTCTCAGCGTGCTTTGGAAATGGAGGCCGCCGCCCTCTTTGGCAATATTCGCAAGCTTTTCCAGCTCCTTCGGTACACTGGCCACAGAAAACCTGGTGCCAAAGAGATTATTTGCGAAGCAGATGGTTCGGCGATTGCCAACCTGCAGAGACGCTTGCGTCGTTGATCCGAACATTTTCATTCCCAGTTCAATCGGTCCTCACAGTCCACTTGTAGACCCTGCGAACCAAGCTGCCGGCTCTGGGTCGTCACCCTTCATCCACCCAACGTAGCGGAGGTTTGTCTTACTATTCTATTTATGGCTTCCGGCTCAGATGCACTTCCTTCGGAGCTGTTCACTAATGGAGGCGCACTTATTATTAGCCAGCTAACCTCCTTTGTTCTATAAAATCTGGTATTAAGAACAAGTGTCATCTTCCTGGAGCGAGTCGGTTATTGTCTCAATTTTTAAGAAGAGTGCTCGCACTTCATGCACCAATCACCGGGGGATTCGTCTCACTTCGGTCGCTTCCAAACTTTTCGCATCCATCCTACTCTGTAGACTCCACTTTTCGTGAATTGCAGTACTTGGAAGAACAAGTTTGCTTCCATCCTAGCCCTGGGTGCATGGATCAAATATTCACGCTCCCCCAAATCCTGGAACATCGTCACCTTTACCAGAGGCCTTTCGTCATTGCATTTCTAGACATCCGTGCTGCATTCGACTGGACCTGCACTATTTCGTTGTTTGCTAAGGAACGGCATCCCAGTAAAGTACACTGCCATTCTACGCGCACTCTACCTCAACATCTCCGGCAGAGTGAGTGTCTATGGCAGGCTTTCCTCGCCCTTCACTGTCGATAACGGTGTACGGCAGGGCTGCCCTATGTCCCCGTTCCTCATCAATTTTTCCGATTGAAGACGTCCTGTCGTGAGCTCCAGACGGTTACCAAAATTTTGGTCTACAGCTACTACAGGGCGATCGATCGACTTGGAAGATGCCGATATCATCGTCCTACTTGGTGACGACTCGCAGAGTAAGCAAACCATTCTAAACCGTTTGGCGACTGAGGCATGTAAATACGGAATGTGCTTCGCCCCGTCGAAATGCAAAATGCTGCACCAGAATTTGCACTTGCCCGCTCCAGTGCTGCACGGCTTGAACACGTTGATAGCTTTTTGCACCTGGACAGCTGCATGTCTGTTGGTGGCGTCATCAACAAGGAAATTTCTATCCGCGTTGCCAAGGCTCGGTCGGCGTTTGCTAACCTGCAAAACTTGTCGCACCGCCGAGATGTCTCTTGGTAACGGTTCGTGTTTACAATGATACCGTTCGGGCGGTGTTGCTATATCTCAGCGAGTCATGGTCCGTTCGCTTAGATGACATGTGCCGGCTCTAGACCTTCAACAATACGTGCTTGAGCAAGATTGCTTGTGCACAGTGGTAACATTGTGTGCAGCGGTGAAACCAGACCTGTGTTAGGAAATGCGAGTATTCTCCTCAACAAGCTGGTTTTGCTGCACCAGTTCAGATGGCTCGGTCATGTCCTGCACATGTCAACTGGACGTTCGTCCCACTGCGCTCTTTTTGCTCGTGCATGAATTAACTGGAATAGACCATGTGGCGGTCTGCTGTCCATCTGGCGACAGCATGTGAAATCGTTGACTTCACGTCTTGCTGCCGCTGGATCCACATGTCTGCCTGGTTGGGGACCAACGGACGAAGAGTGCCGGTGGCCGGAAATAATTCAGGATATGGTTCGATCGAAACTAGGCGAGGATCTGTGTAAATTATCGACTCGATTTAAATACTTATTGCTTAACGATTGCCAAAAACAAAATGAAAAAATCGTGTGTGCAAAATAAAAATGCTTCGTTTTTTCATTTAATGCGGTACAACAGTTGCAGTGTGTTACTCACCTTCAGCGAATGTGCCACGATGTTGATGCGTTGATTATTCGTGTCTTCCGGTGATTTCCCTAGTTTTGTTTGGCTCTGTCTATTAAATAGACCTCTGCTTATAGTACTACTAATACTACTACTACCTACCTATCCTACCTGCCTACTTGGTTGGCGGCATCCGGTTTCGGATTTGCCTGTCACTGTAGCAAGCCATAGGGCGCCTGCGCCTACAGAGGGACCATGGATGGCTTGCGCTGCACCACCCACAACTCCAACCACATACCCCATATCCAGTGTAAACCCGAAGGAATAAGACCGGGAGGCATGCGGATGGGAACCACGTTTCATCAACGGAGCCGGCCCACACTCCTTCACAGGCAAACACAAGCACACTGTATTTGGGGAATCAACCGCACGCAAGGCGGTGGCTGGACCGTAGTCCGCTCCACACTGAGTGCATGGCACCACTCTTCGAGCCTAACACGGCCACAAGGACCGTGCACCCCGTCCCCTCCAGCAACGACCAACTGTCTCCTGGAGCCAGTATGGACGATGTAGTGGGTAATAGACAGGTAGGCACCTTGTCAACATACACATCAAGCGCAACCATACCAGGGATATCAAACAACAGCCATTCAATTTCAACAACAAGCTGAAATAAAATAAATCCAATAATGCATACAGATACGGTGGCATAACTCTTCGCTAAATTACCATAAGAAGTAAGTTGGTTAGCAACAAATCCGTGATAAGTAAGAAATGTCCACAAGTTATTTAAAATGCTACAAACGCAACAAAATTACCGAAGATAAGCGCAATTAGTGTAAGCAACGTGGCCAGTTAATAGAATATTATTCAGGGAGGCAGAACAAACCAAATAAAGCGGAATGAAATTTATCCAGCTTAAAAAGACCTAGTTTAAGTGTAAGTTGGTTTAGCCCAACTGCGGTGAAGAAGCATCAAGAATGCAACATCAGCCTACTTACTTACCTACCTACTACTACTACTACTACTTCCGTTTTTCGATAGCCTTTTTATGGATGAAAATTTCAGGATTCATTTTCTCCACTGTTTGTTTTTCTTATATGTTCACTTTACGCATGCGTCAGTTCAGTGTTGGGGTCACCGGTGGATAACCACTTTTATTCACTTCCTTCGGAAAAACCACCCACACTTCTTTGTCTGTGATGTACTTGCCGCTTCAATGAACGGCTAGTAAAATCTCACTGGCCTAACATCTCACCCTCTGTTTGACTTCCTTCCAGCTAACACCACTTTTGGGTCGCCCCTCAATCTTTGTGTGTGCGCATTCACCTTTGCAGAATAGATTTTTGTTTCATTTACTCAACACTTATCACCTTTCGACAGTGCTTACCGTATATGAGCCATTCATAACATAACAACAAGCTCCCCATGAATAACTCTTCATGGACCTGTTTTGTCCCCACGTTTTCGGCACTTAAAACCATCTGAAACACTTTGATTTTGATCGTTCTCGGTTTTGTCACGCTGGGAATTTTGGCACTTTCCTTTTTGCTACTTAGTGGTACTAGGCACTTGAAAGGTATTTTGTACACTAAGCGCTTTCTTGTGAAATAAGCAGTTAACTGCTGTCCGTCACCTCACGTAGTTTTGTTTTCTTTCCGGCAGTTTTAGTACTTTCCCCGATTTATTCGTTTAAGCATCTTTAGCTCTGAAAATTTCACTTGATGCATCAGTTTTGTTACCCTTTTCCTTTAACTTCCTTCTCGTTGCAATAGCACATGCATACAGTTGCTTTCATTAAACACTAATCCAGGTTTCCTTCTTCATTTCTTTATGACGGCACTTTATTTCTTCTGTATACTTTCCAGTGAGTTCTTGCTTTTTCCGTTTCATTTTTAACATCTCAGCTCTTTCATTTAGACTAAAGATGATGAGTTTTTCACATATACTGAACTTACTTAATTCTGCCCTTGGTTAACTTTGTGAACCGAGGCCACTCTGTTTCTGTCAGTTTGTTTAAAGCTTTCCTACTGTGTCACTTATGCTACTCCTCTCATAACGAATTCTCACCACAGCTTCTCGAGAAATGGCGCTTCGGTCCATCCTCAACCCTGTGCAAACGGCACTGTGGCCTACAATGACACCGAGCGCACCGGTTATTCCACCACGCTCTAGGTCGTTTTCGTCCAGCGCTCGTAGCAGTAGTCGAAGCACAGACCGCTGCTCTTCGTCATCCTCATCCTACTGCTCCCGACGTTATTCACCAGGAAGTCGAAGCCGATCATCCTGCTCCAGGCGCTCGTGCTCTTGCTGCAGTCGGTCTAGGGAGCGCCGTCGACGGTCCACAATTGACTCTCGTTCTCACAGTCGCCGTTCAGTCAGCTCACGCGGCGCACGACGAAGTGTGAGCGGATCGATTGATCGCAAATCGCGTCGCAAACCCCGGTCAGTTTGTCCAAGATTGTGCATCTTGTGATTTCCACACTCACCATTTCGCATCTGCTTGTCATCTGAATATACGCGCATGCCACATTTGTACGTCTGATACAGTTCGTTATGCATTATAATGCGCACTCACTTCGGTTCGTTTGCATAACATGGATTTTAATTTTTCCATTAACGTTGCTTTCTTTTGCTGACTACTACTTCACAATTAATTGTTATGCATCTGTTGACCTTTGTATGCTTTGTATGTCTGTGGAACTGTTGAGCCATAATCTACTTCTCTGTGACACTAGCTGTGCTTCATGTCTACTTCTCGCTATGCCACTTTTACACGATACAGTTTAAGGACTTGTTTCACGCTGATTACCCGCACGCACGTGTCACTGTTTGTGCTGTGCTACACGGTCGTTATCGGACAAGCAAGCGATCTCCTCATAACACCGACGTAATACCGTGGCACTTATGGCGATAGTAATTGGCATACTAATTGGCACTGGAGTGCTGCCTCGTACAGTCTGTCTTATACAACACAACCGTAGTGATTTAAAGTGGAGTATAGAAAAATTTCCAACAAGTATGTAGATAAATTGTCATTGCCATTGCTCTGTATCACTGAGAACAGCAGTGCCCTAAATTCGATGACTATCCTTTGCAATCGATCGCAGTGACTTCTGCATGTGATGAGTTGGTCAGTAGTTATCGTTTGCGTTATATATATATATATATATATATATATATATATATATGGCGGAAGAGTCTATGGTGCACTGAGGCTGGTGGTGGCTAGATCCTGACAGATGGTCTACCCACTGCTGCTACTGTTGTGCAATGGGCTCATGTCCTGCGTGCCTCGTGGCGACCGCTGAGTGGTAGTTGCGTTGCGCCTTTCTCGCTGCTATGATCCAGGACACCAATCCGCATAAGTCAGTGAACTGACCATGTGCTAGACCTGCTGCTTTACGGGTGTATATTTACTCGAAGGCTTTGTCTGTGCACCCGACTCGTTCTCCTGTTAATTGTGGCGCCCTGCCAGTATCCTAGTCCATCCTGTTCGGAGGTTAGAAGGTGATCAATCGCCCCCTTCCCGTAAAACCTAGCCATGGGAGACAACAGATCTACGAGTTATAAGCTCACAGCTCGATTGGCGTAGAGCACGAGCGCCACGCATTGTCTCTGACGGTGGGAGGGCACCTCCTGGTGTTCAATGTTTTCCTACTGCCCGCCTCAAGTCAGGTAGCCCCTGGTCAAATTGGTACAAACCCGCCAAAACCCACCTACGTCTAGTCGTGGTCGCAAGTGTATCTTACGACGATCGCAAAACATATACGAATCGTTCCAGTACCTCAAGCAGATTCCAGTCTGTCTCTGCAATAGCATTCCCGAGTTGGATCTACTCCCCACTACGTTGTGCGTCAGACTATTGCACCAAAGGCTCCGGGTGAAGTCCCTAAAGCTAACCCCCGAAGCACAACCGCCACTTCGCGTGCGATTGTCCACCAATGCAATCGTATGCCTGCGCACAAAGCACTCAGCATCGGGTGCTGGAACGTGCGCACACCACTGGACCGGAACTCGAGTGAGCGCCCGGAGGGACGCACTGCACAGGTCGCGATGGAACTGGCGCGCTACAACATCTATATTGCGACGCTCAGTGAAATCCGACTCGCTGAGCAAGGTAAGTTGCATGAAGCAGGTGCTGGCTACACATTCTACTGGATGGGCAACGCCGCCTCAGCACTACGTGATCATGGGGTCGGATTTGCAATATCCGATCGCCTGAATGGCCAGCTCGTGGGTGAACCAACAGGCATCAGCGCGCGACTGATGATTGTTCGCCCACGATTCGAAAGAGGTAAGTTTGACACTTTATGAACACCTACGGTCCGACCATGTGTTATCCTGATGACACGCATGGTCAATGCTACACTCAGCTATCCTCCGTGATACGGTCTGGGCCGAGGAGCGTTGGGTGATTTCAACGCGCGCGTTGGGCGTGATGCATCGGTGTAGACAGATGTTATCGGTCCGAATGGCATTGGTTCCGCGAATGCGAACGGTGACAGGCTGCTCTCACTGTGTGCCATTCACGGCCTGACGATCACGAACACTCGGTTTGCACTGAGCTCGAGTGATATAGCAACTTGGACGCACCAACGGAATGGTCACCCTCACCTGCTCGACTATGTCATCGTACGTCAGCGTGATATGCGTGAAGTGCGCATGGCACATGTACTGTGTGGAGCTGAGTGTGGCACTGACCACAAATTGGTGCGGACCAAACTGTACATATATTTTCGTAAATCTAGGTATTGCACTCCCGCCGTGAATTGGCGTAAATTTAACCTTCTCTCCATCCCTACTGTGGAGAAACGTACTGAGCTGGAGAAGGCGATGGCTGCACGTCTGTGTGATGTGGACTACATAGCCACAGTGGGCGACCTGTGGCACCACATTCGCGACCAGGTGACAGTTGCTGCCGAGGAGACTATCAGGCGCGCAAACTGTAAGCGGCCTGATTGGTTTGATGACAACAATGCCACGATTGGCGCATTTGTGTCAGAGAAGAATGCAGCATTTGCTGCACATGTGACAGACCACAGTGACTTGGGGAAGAAGAGCCAGTTTCGCAAACTTCGACGGCGACTGACACGGGGGCTCCATCGCATTAAAAATGCATGGTGGACAGAGAAGGTGAAGCAGATGGTATGCCATGCCGAACGCCACCAACAAGGAATTCTTTGACTCTGTTAGGAGGAAATATGCGATGCGAAAAAACCAAGATCTCATCGCCGCGGCAGGCGATCCAAGCTCATCCGCCCTGATTGGGGCGAATAGATAGTCAACCGGGAAAAGCGGCCAATTAACTCGAGGGCGGCGTTCCTCTATTGGTTGTAAGTTAGCCTTTCCAGAGCTTTCCACGTTCACTTTAAGTACCATTCACGAACTTTCCATTTCACCTTTATAATGAACGATGTGATTCACTAATACATCCTTGTTGCTTTGCTCGTCCGATCCGGTCTTCTCTCTGTCCTGTGGGGGGTCAGCGACTTCGGGTTTGATTGGGAATCAAGCGTCCATTCAGGCTAGGGACGAACACTTCAGCTCGCGACGGGTTGAACCCTTATCAGGATGTTCATATCGGCTGACGAGCTCAAGGCCATTCTGCTGCAGCATCAAGCACAATTTGAGACATCCCAACTCAGGCTGATCGAAGCTCTTACGCGCCAACTCTCAACCCAGACCGGTTCACTGTCTACAACCGTCAAGCCGTCCGCATCGGTAGACTCCATCACTAACAGTATTGCCGAATTTTCGTACGACCCTGATGCTGGCCTCACCTTTGAATCTTGGTTCAAGCGTTATGAAGATGTGTTCTGCGTTGAACTTAGAGACCATGATGACGATTGGAAGGTCCGATTGCTGTTAAGGAAACTTGGAACAGCAGAGCACTCCAGGTATGTCAACTTTTGCCTATGAACACTCGAGACTGCACTTTTGTGGAGACTGTCAAATGCTTTGGCCAGATATTTGGAGAGCAGTCATCTATCTTCAACACGCGATATCAATGCCTGAAGATCACCAAGATGGACGCTGATGACTACGTCACTTACGTTGGCATCGTCAATCGCGAGTGCGAAAAATTGGACATCAAATCCATTACGGCAGATCAGTACAAATGCCTGATTTTTATCTTTGGCCTACATTCCCCACGGGATGCAGAGCTTCGCACCAGACTGCTGAGTAAACGTGAACAAGACCCGCAAATGACTCTACAGAGCATAACTACTGAATGCCAACGATAGCTGAACCTCAAGCATGACACGCTTATGCTGGAGAAGCAACAATCAACCCCAAGTCTTAGTGTATTAAAAACCGCCTCAAAGAAATCGCTTCCAAGTGAAACAGGCCATGTAAAGCCCGGAGTGAATCCCAAGCCCCCGACTGCCTGTTGGAGATGTGGTGAGTTGCATTTTGTTCGAGTGTGTCCATTCCTGAAACGTGTTTGCCACAAGTGTCATAAGGAAAAGCATCGCCGATCCGGACTGCAGTTCAAGCGTGCTAGACATACGCGACCGAATTCAAATGTTTCCAAAAATTTAGCAACTATAGTGCGGTTCAAGCGGCTTACTCTGATGAATATATGGCTCGCAGAAAGTACGTCAGAGTTCACCTGAACGGGCAACAAGTACGTCTTCAGCTTGCTATAGCCTCGGACATCACAACTATCTCCAGCAAAACTTGACAGTATATTGGTGCGCCGTCAATCAACCGAACGACACATGTTGCACTTAACGCCTCAGGAGGTCAACTTAATTTCATTGGTGAGCTGCAGTGTGAAATGGTTTTTGGCACTGCTCGGGCAAACGCTGTCGTATACATTACAGGCCTGTCACATTTGAATCTTCTTGGACTCGACTGAATCCAGAAGCTCCACCTGTTCGACATTCCCCTGCGTCAAGTCTGCAATACCCTCCGGTTCGGATATACGAGGCCCTCTTCGGAAGGTGACGAACCAAACAACAACCTGATCGAACAGCTACGAAGGAAATTCCCGTCTGTGTTTTGCAACGACTTGGGAAGATGCACAAATATCAAAGCAAGCCTTACTCTCAAAGACGGTGCCAAACCCGTATTTCGACCCAAAAGACCGGTACCGTACACTGCGCTTCCGATTGTTGATGCGGAACTTGATCGTTTGGAGCGGGCTGTCGTCATACAACCTGTGAACTATTCAGCGTGGGCAGCACCTATTGTTGTCGTCAAGAAGACCAATGGAACCGTTCGTATCTGTGCTGACTATTCTACGGGATTGAATGCTGCTTTGAAAATTCACCAGTGTCCTTTGCCAGTCCCAGAAGATTTATTTGCTAAGCTCAGTGGTGGCGCTTACTTTGCAAAGCTAGATTTATCAGATGCTTATCTTCAAATTGAAGTCGACGATGCTTCGAAGGAGCTTCTCGCAATCAATACGCACCGAGGTCTTCACCAGTGCAACCGTT